AGGAAACCCACCAATGGAAGGAGGAAACAGAGGGTTGCCTAAGAGAGGGAGAAGTGGTAAATGAGGAGATATTAGGCCACTAGAGTATTTAATGGAGTCCCATATGCGAAACGAGTGGGCCATTAGAGGGCTGACAGTGGTGGGCCTAGATTTCGGAGGGAGCCATAAAAGTGAGCTAGGAGAAACCGGATAGCAAGAAAGTGCTTCCAAAGTGACCCATAGGGGGGGCTGCTGTGCTGCATATAAAGAGGTCAGAGATGCAATTTGAGCCGCCACATAGTATTTAGAAAAGTTAGGGACTTCCAGAGCCCCTTGTTTCCGGTGTATGAGCATAGTGTGTTTGATGACCCAAGGTCTCTTGTGAGCCCGGATAAAATGTAGAGCATAATTTTGAAATGACTTTAGGGTGTAAGAGGGAACTGGGCTGGGGAGGGTGTGTGTATAGGTCATTGGAAGAGCTTTAGAAGAATAGTCCTCTTCAATGCTTTGATTCTACCAATCCATGAAAGGGGTTAGGAGACCAGGACATGAGTAAGGTTTTAGGAGAACGAAAAGTTGGGCTATAGTTGGCTTCGTAGAGAGCGTGGTAGGACTTCGTAAGGTTAATCCCTAGATATTCTGAATCGGTAGGGGCCAAGCAAAGTTTAGTTTCAGTGGGTCGACTTTCGCTTTAGGGAGAGAGACATTGAGGGCCGATGATTTATCTTCGTTTACTATTAAGCCGGAGATGTTGGAAAAGCGGTTGAGGATGGAAAAAAGGGTAGGTAGTGTAGTGTGTGCGGAGGAGTCAAGGTCAAGAGCAGGTCGTCCATGAATGTGCTAACTTTGAAAGATTGATGGGCGACTGAAACCCTTTTGATATCCGGATTAGATCTGATGAGATGTAGTAGAGGCTCCAAGGCTAAGATAAAGAGTATTTTTGTCCATTTTTCGTACACATTTTATTTCTCGTATACTTTTACATGGGTGAGTTCTTGTGCATTTTTATTATGCATACGGACCATACGCCTATCTTGACCTCTTGTCCATATAGCATACACCCTGATAGATGTGACCACTACTGTCCTAAAATTTGGTTTTAACCATTAACATTCATTTCATAATAACTTGCTATGTATATTAAATACATTTTTAACTGTCATATTGTACATCATGCCATTGGATATATTAGCCTCATTGTTGCACGTCGTATTTTTAGAACTTATTGTTAATTCACCTTTACCAGTCGCTATTTCTATGCCTCGGGCAATCCATTATTACTATTGTTTTTATTTGTTATATTTTTTATTATTGTTTTTATTGTTTCTTCATTAAAATTCACCTCCCCTTGTATTGCCACGGCTTAGGGCTGTGAGACCCATCCCCTGCAGCTGTCCCTGCCCCTCCTTCCTATACAGATGGCCACTTCCAGTGGCCAATCAGGTCTGACGAAGAAGCTGATGCTTCGAAACGCGTTACCGCCCCCTCTTGCGGCATTAAGTGGTGACGTCACATCCGCCTGGCCGCCATTTGCGTTCCAGCCTGGTTTCCATCACAGCCACTGGACGCTACCAGCGTAGAACAGGGAGACCAGGCCCCCACAGCAGCCTTGGCTCCTAGATGATATTCCACCCTCCAGGACTTTTGAAGGACGACGTCCATCCTGAGATACATGCCTTTTCTCCATTGCAATCTATTTGGCGCCCCTCTCTCCTTTTCTCCTTTTGGGAAAGAGGACATCCCTGGTATGTTCCCCTGTGTATGGGAAAAAGAGGAGGATTGTCGAGAAAGATAGAGAAACGTGGCGGGGGGGGATCCTTGATTGAGAGCCCTCAGCCATGACGGCAAAGCAGTTGGAAATCCCCATATTTCCAAGACATAATGCATATACTCCCAAGAGAGAGTCAAATGCGTTGTGTATATCCAGGCCTAGACGCATACCATGGGTTTTATTTTGTTGAAGCAAATGAATAAGATGAATGACTCTGCGGGTAGAAAAGGGAACAAAGCCCCCTTGATCTTTGTGAATAAGGTGGTGCAGGAAGGAGTTAATTCCGAAGATTTTAATGTCAACACTCAACAGGGATATGGATCTAAAATTGTGGGAGTCCTGAGAATCTTTCCCGGGCTTTTGGGAGCATCACTATTTGGGCAGCTGTGGAGTTAGTCAAGCAGGGAGCGAGGGTTTCAGTTTCTTTTCTTTTTTAATAGAACGTGGAGGAGCCGTCAGGTCCAGGGGTCTCTGCATCCTAAGGCTTTGATTGTTGTAAGGACCTCTGTGACGGTGATATCTCGGGTATGGGCTTTAAGAAGGTTGGCCAGTATTGGACCTGGCTTTTTAGCACAGGCATAATATTTATGTCGTGACCATCTGAGCTGTTTTTCAGCCTTCTCAAGGAGATTTAGTTCCACCCTAGCAGCTTCTAGTTGTTTGCGTAAAAAGACAGAGTGAGACTCATTAAATTGGGTTTCCAACTGCGTGAGATGGGAGGATAAATTTGCCATCTGGGACTCCTCCTTCTTCTTGCGGTATGCTAGTTGTATAAGTTTCCCTCGCAGCGTGACTTTATGAGCTTCCCACAAAACCGTGGGGGATGAAGTCAAAACCGTATTGTCAATAAAGTAATTGGAGATAGTCCTGAATGGCTCCTACCACCTCGTTAAATAACAGTGAGTCGTTAAGATGCCAGGAATAGTGTTGAGGGGTAGAGGCCAGCGATTTACAGGTGAGTGATCAGACCAGGGTGTAGACAAGAATCTGACATTAAGAACGTCTGGGATGAAAGATTGAGTAATGAAAAAATGGTCTTTTCGTATGTGGCAATTGTGGGGCGCCGAGTAGTAAGTGTAATCCTGCCCTCTAGGGTTAAATTCCCTCCAGGCGTCCAGCAAAGCATATTCGGAGAAAAGGTCTGAGAATCGCTTAGTTTGTGAGTTAGCTTCGGTGGAGACCCCGGAGGAGCCCACCGAAGGGGATCGATCTGTCTGTTCAATACCACGTTACTTTCTCTCATTATGATCAGGGTGCCCTTCTTATGCGAGGAGATTACCTGCAATCAGTGAGAGGAAAATCGAGACAGACTGAGCGTTGGGGGCCTAATAGTTAACTATAGTCACTTCAACGTCTAGGATTGTCCCCTGTAATATTATGAAGTACCGACCTGTAGGGTCTGCATATGAAAGGAGAACTTTTATGAAAAGCCACTGGGACTCCTCTCTGTTTTTCCTCAAATGTCTCCTGAAACACCTGGGGGTTGTTTTTGTAGAGATATTTTGGGGAGGAGGTGGAAAATCTGGTTTCCTGCAATCCAATAACATGGGCGTGAAGTGAGGCATAGTAATTGAAGGCACACCTACGTTTCTGAGGGGAGTTAAACCCCTGTACGTTATGAGACACCACAACAAACTTGGAGGGTGGCCATCATGGTGGGTAGGAGGTGAGGGTAGCGTGAAGACGCAGTAAAGGTCATCTCAGCCCGAATATGGTAGAAGCAGTCTGTTTGGCGTCCAGAAAAAAGAGAGCGAGAGTGCAGTAAGAGAACAAGAAGAAAGCTCCACCACAGGGGTCTCAAAGAAGAAATTGCCTAAGCAATTAGTGGCAGTGATCATATGCACTGCCATAGTAGGGGGTCGCCGAAGCCGATTGGGCGCACATTGTAGTATATGATCTGAAAACCTGTTAGATAAAAGTAGCAATACTATTGCCTGACCATAGGAAAGGGGAGGGAATAAAAAAAAAAAGGGGGGGGGGGGTGATGAGGGAGAGAAGCACCTGAGTATCAAGATTCTCGGGTTTACCTGGATGATCAATGAGCCTGGGATCAATCTAGTGGTTGCAGCGGCTGACCATATAGATTAGCTGAGGAACGATGGCACCCGCTAATTTCTATGGTCTAGGAGGACCAGAGCAACATCCCTTTTCTACTCCTAGGTGTCCCCTGACTTCCACTTCTGGAAGTATCAGATTGAGACATTCTACCAGAGGCTGTAGCACTTCATTGAAGGAAAGATACAAAATACGTCAGGGAAGTAATTGGGGTGACAACCTTGTCAGTTTAATTACCTGTCCTCCTTGCTACTTACACTTTTTTTCACTCCCCTTCCCCCTCCCCGGTTACCTGCTAGGAGAAACTGGTTGATCTGGTCAATATTGCATGTGGCTTTGGATTCTTTCCCCCCCCCCCCCCCCCCCCCCCATGTGACTCCTTTTCTCAATGTCAGAGCTGCCCCCTTGTTGACTGGTGGGGTAATGATCAAACAGCTGGAGTCATCCAGAATGAATGAAGCAGAAGCAGTGGGGTACAATGAACATAAAGGGGAAAGAAAATCAGCTTTGTAAATAGCATTGCCAGTCTCTCTTGTTCAGGCTCTTGAAGAACCTTTTGTTACCAGTGATCAAAACCTTTCTAGATAATAGATTACTGTGTCCATGCAAGTATGCGTTGGACAGACAGAGGGCTGGAGACAAATGTAGCCACAGACATTACCACACTAAAAATGTCTCATTTGGTACAACGGATACTTTATTGTATTATAGTAACAGAAGATGAAAGTTCTTCTCCAAAGGCCAACTCCTCCTGAAACAAGGTTAGGTTGAATCACTTGCAAATTTCTTCCACTTCTTGGGGATTCCAGGGTTGAGATCTGCCCACCACAAAGTCCAGTCCTTCCCTGAATGTCATAGAGGGGTTTGAGACGCATACTACTTGGGGGAGTCTTAACTCTGGCATCTCTGAGAGGCTGAAGAAGTCACTCTTGCCATCCCATGAGTAAAAACACTTCTAGATGTAGATCTAGATGTAGCTGGCCTTTCCATGTTGATAACACCCTTTATTCTTTAATTTTTGTTTTTTATTTTGCTGTAGAAAATGGGCATGGAGTCGCCCCCGCCAACCATGATAGAGGGCCTCGGAGATGAGGTGACCGTTGCAGTGGGCCTCTTTATCCTGCTTTTGGCACTCGTTCTGGCGTGGCTATCAACCTATGTGGCCGAGGGCAGCGATCCCTTACTGGGCAGCCTGATGCCCGCAGGACGTAGAGAACCTCTTTTGGGCCTCAGCAACCCAGGGCCCCCAAATCCTGAAGCACAGAGGACTGTGGAGCCCCAGGTGGAAAAGCCCGAAGAAGGGGAGCAAGGCCAAGGTGGTGAACAGGGTGCTGGCAGCGAGAACGCCAGCCTTGACCAGGTGCTTGATATTCAAGGAGTGCCTAAGCGTGGCCAGCCTGTGACAGCTGTAAGTGAAACCGATGAAGATCTAGCAGAGGGAGAGGCTGATGGAGCAGACATTTCTCAGGAAGTAGCAAGACGGAAAGTCCCGCCAGAAGAGAGAGAGACAGAGCGGGATAGTGGCACAAATCAGCAGGATCATGAATGGAGAAAGAGAACCAGCAAAGGCCAGGAGCAGACACAGCCTGAGGAAGAAATGATCACAGTGCGGCTGAAATTCCTGAATGAAACGGAAGAGGTTGCTTTGGTGAGGCCAGATGACACCATCGGAACTCTCAAAAGGTAAGAAAAATGGACTGGGAAGACTGGTATTCATCGGAATTATTCAAAGTAGAACATAGGATCAGATAAACCTATTAAAGGAGGCAGCTAGATTTTGTTTAGAAGTATTGATTACCTGGCCCTTGGACCTGTCTGGCCATATCCGGAGAGGTGATCACAAGCCTCATTCATAAAACTTAATGCAGGAATACCCTGGGAGCACAGAATCCTGGAACACCCTGGTAGACAAATTTGAACCAGCTCCTGATGTCTGACTTAACACCATAACACCTCTCTTTTGGCCAGGATTCCCACCGTAGTGGTGGACCAGCAGTGAGGTGTAGAAGGGAACATGCCCTTTACAAGAGACGCTGGTTCAAAATTGCACACCAGGGCAGCCCAGGTTTCAGGGTTTTTGAGGTTATCCACAGGAAAGGTCAACCGACAAACGTGTGAGTTGTAAGGCCCATTGTCACATCAGTGATCCTGGAACACTTACAACCTCCTTACCTTCTCCTGTGGCATTGATCTTCTGCTGTGACGCCCATTGAGAGGTGTGGCTGCTGCATCCTGGTGACTGCCTGTGGCAGAATCCTCAGTGTAACATAAGCTTGCATGTCCTTGGAAGTGATGGGACTTCTCATGTATAGCTGGGATTATCAGGGGCCCTGACACCTAATGGATGAAATGCAGCTTTTTGAGATTTCACCCATCAGTAGTTGAAAGAGGACCTTGGGTTGCCATGGATTTCTGCACATTCCACTGGTTGCCATAGATTTCTTGGCATTCTACTGGTTGCTATGGATATCTGCACATTCCATTGGTTGCCATAGATTTCTAGACATTCTACTGGTTGCCATGGATTTGTGAACATTTCACTGGTTGCCATGGATTTGTGAACATTTCACTGGTTGCCATGGATTTCTAGACATTCCATTGTTTGGATGGATTTTAGGGCATTTCAGGGCATTCTATCTTGCTTTGCCTTGTTGAATGAACCATGCTTTTATAAATCACTAAGACTGCACTTTTGCCAGCTCATATTCATTCTCTATGACATTGTTATGAATTTTCTTTTTTTTTTTTCCTATCTCCATTTTTATGATGTGCATTGGCGGGTAGGTAAGTCTTTCGCTCACCAGCTCAATTCACTCTGCTCCCCCTCCCAGCAGTGATTGAGCAACTCAGTTCTGCTTTCCCTACTCCCTTCCTCCAGAAAAAAGTCAGCAGCCCAGGTTGCCTTCCCCACCACCCCAAACAGTGACTCGACTAACTTCCAACATGTGCTGTAAACTCAGAACAAGAGTAATAGGAGGGGGAGCTGAGCTTTTGAGACATTGCTGCGGGTGGGAGGGTGCAAGGTAAGCTGAGCTGCTGAGAGAACAACTTGGATGACCATTGAGGATGAATTGGTCCTTAGTACCTGCAGCTGCTGAGGTCAGTAAGGGTGTATTTTAAAGCTCATTTATAGCTTATTTAAAGTATGTAAATATGTGAAATAGTATAAACTGGCCACATATTAACTTTTTTTTTTTTAATAAATGAAGTGGAGTTTTTGATCTGGAAAGGCTGATAAAAGCTATTGTTTATCAGTTTATACTTGCATCCTTGCTCTTGCAGAGCTATAAAATACAAAAAATTACCAGTTGGCTGTATATCAGTCAACAGTTCTGTGTCCATAGGTGGACTGTGACATGCAGGTTGTCCAGTGTTGAGGGTGGTCAAGTGATTTGGTTCTAAAGGCGGAAGTGTTTTTTTCACCTTAATGCATTCTCGGCATTAAGGTAAAAAAACCTTCTGTCTGTACGCAGGTCCTCCGTCCCCCTTATACTTACCTAAGCCCAATTTTGATCCAGCACTGTGACTGGGAGCAACATTTCTCTCTATTGGTCTCCTCACCGGAGATTGAGGCAGCCTTAGGAGTCATTGCTGTCAATCACAGCCAGTGAGAAGAGAGCGGGAAGTGGGGCCGAGCCGCGCGCTGTGTGTCAATGGACACACAGAGCATGGCTCGGTAGCGAGTTAGCACTCGCTTGCTATGGACGGGACTAGGGAAGGGGGGAGCCAGAAGCGCTGAAGAGGAGGATCAGGGCTGCTCTGTGCAAAAACCTTGCACATAGCAGATAAGTATGACATGCTTATTATTTTTAAAAATCCTTTAGAATCACTTTAATATAATATATACAGCGTATTTACTGAGATTTGTGCCTCTGATGTTTCTGCCACCACCTTTGTTCACTCTTAACATCTTCCTCATCTTGTTTTTTTCTCCTCCAGTAAATATTTCCCAGGCCAGGAACCTCAGATGAAGCTCATTTTCCAGGGACAGCTCCTACACGACTCCTCACAGACCTTGCGCTCCCTCCATATCACAGACAACTGCGTCATCCATTGCCACCGTTCTCAGGCAACAGTCTCCTCCTCCCCAGTAGGCCCGGAATCTGGAGGGACATCTACGGAGCACACCGGCCTCACCCCACCCATTGGGAACCTGATGATACCCATCTTTGTGGTCATGCTGGCACTGATCTGGTATTTCCGGATCAACTACCGCCAGTTTTTTACTGCCCCCGCCACGGTCTCCCTGTGCGGGGTCACTGTTTTCTTCAGCTTTTTGGTCTTTGGCATGTATGGGCGATAAAACTGAAAAAAAAAAAAAGGGTTTAAGTGACTTATGACTGTTGTACAGAATTACTCTGTGGGATAAACCAACAAAGCTTCTGTTATGTATTCTGTATCAATTCACCAATACCTTAATCAGGCTTAATCCCGTTCTCAGTACCAAATGGATTGGCCGTGATTAGGGCCTTAAGCGGTATTAATTACTGTGTGGTATCAGGCTGATTGTCATGGTGTCCCCAATTTATCCAGAAAGGCCTTGCGTAACAGGAGGATATTACGCCATAAAGCGTCATCCCATGACCTTTTCGACACAATGCTGGCATTGAGGTCAACAATAGGCTTGATAGGAAGCTGCACGACTTTTTGGTCTCCTAAGGTAGTGCCAGTGAGGTTGGGACAAAGGCTGGAGCAGGGAGGCCACCGAGTGAAAGATCTGTAGGGGAGAGCAGTATATGAAACGTGGCGTATTCTAAGGTGGATCTGTATGACTTGTAAACCAATAGACTGGCATCTGCCACCTCGGAGTGGACCTCTAAGGGCAGGTGGTACCTGGCACAGCCAAGTTTTTCCCATTTATCTCTGGAGGCCTCCACTCCTGGGTGGAGTGCCTATTTCGCGGACGGCACTTGAGATATGGCAGAGGTGTTATATGTTGTACTTTGTTGAACTGACTTCTTTTTCTGGGGTCCGCATCCAGCTTTGATGGGAGTCTTGACTATGACATATAACCAGCTTCCTTTAGCACCCAAATCAGAACTCCTACCACTTAGAGACATTGTTTTTATGACGCTCTATAGCAGTGGTTCTCAACCTGTGGGTCGTGACCCCTTTGGGGGTCGAATGATCCTTTCACAGGGGTCGCCTAAGACCATCGGAAAACACATATTTCCGATGTGTAAAGAGCAGCTACTGTGTAGAAAGTAGCTGCTGTGCTGAAAGCAGCTACTGTGTTGAAAGCAGCAGTATTGGAGGTAAAACGACACTCATGAGTTATAATTACTGGGTAAATAATTTTTATGGTTGGGGGTCACCACAATATGAGGAACTATTATTAAAGGGTCACGGCATTAGGAAGGTTGAGAACCACTGCTCTATAGGCTTATTTAAAGGGCCACACCACCCAAAACTCCCTTGTAACAGGTGGAGCTTTCTGCCTCAAGGACTGGGAGCTCCAGAGATCCAACAACGTAAAAGAGTTCATGTCGATGGGGGATTCAACTACCGTGTTTTGTGTGGACTGACTCTTTAAAGGAAGCTAACTGGAGAGAGAAGTCCATTAGCTGCCAATGCATAGCATCCTTTATCTTTGTCTTCAGTGCTAAGTCACTGAGCCTGAACAGGTAGGCAGTAAGTGATCTGCATCATTCATCAGAGTCATTGAGTCAAAAAGTATTGAAACCCAAGGATCAGCATGATCCCATATTCATAGGGACGTCTGCAATGGCACCTTAGGTTTTCTATAATAACTTAGTACACAGGGCAGTGGTAGGCAGTAACCCATGACAGCCTTGAGTGTGGAGTCTGGTTCCTGTCTGATACAACCTCATTGTTCTGTGTTAATGAGCCCATGAGGATTGGTTTCCCCGTCTTGTATGAAAATGTCGGTATTTTGGTGTTGCATGGTGTAAAGTTGGACAGAGCACAGATTGTGAGAGTCCTGTGCATGTCGTGAAGCGCCGTCTTGGGTATCCACACTGGTGGTATTGTGTTAGTTCCTGCACCTTTTCTGATGGCAGGGGCTCGTAGGAGAACAGGTCCGTGTGAAGTCCCCAGGTCTGCAGGGGGGGTTTACCAACCAAAAATGGTTGGGGTTATAGAGAAAGGTATTTGATATGATAGAGAAGGACAGTGGTATGATAATCATTAATGGGATCCATTTCTGGTTTTGCTCCATGATACCCGCACGGTGCCGAAACAGGAAATGTTGACGTTTTGATTTTGGCAATGGGGTTCTGTCAGTAGCAGGCACTTGATCACATTTGTGCATGTGAACATGGGTTGTGCCATTGTTCATTTTTACTGCAAATGGATGCAGGGACTATTGATGCTGATCTGTTCTCAGATCTTTGGCACATGCCATAAAGGGGGCTGTAGCTTTTGGATGGCACAGCTCTGTCTGTATATAGAAAATGTTCATATTCTGGATTGATTACTGCCTCCATAGTAAGGATCAGCATTTGCCTGAAATTTTTTTTTTTGCCAGTTGGCACCCAAAAAATTGTCCACAGAGTCACTCTATAGGCAGCTAGTACCCCCAGAATGACTCCGCATACTACCTAGTACTGCAGACCCAGAGCCAATACTCCCAATTAATTCTCCTCATTCTGAAAACAACCCTCTGAGATTCACTGTGTGCCCCTATAGTGATGAATCATATAGGTACCTACCTTCTGCCTCAATTCATGCGCTTCAGTCCATGCCATAGTACTGTCCATTCTGAGCCCAAACTCCTGGAAGCCAGTCAGTGCCACCTCTTCCATCACTAGAGAGCCTGTACTACAATGACTCCCCCCATGCACACTGCCATTTGGGCTCCATGGGGCCCAAGATTTTGGTCCCATCGCTTGATCGTGGGTTTGGGCAGAAGCAGATTGGACAGCCCAGCAAACAAACCACGAGGAAAAACATTGTATTGGAATTCTAGTTCCCAAGTTGACAGCAACAGTCTGAACATTTCCTAGAAGGTAAAATTTAACTTAAAGCGGAAAAAAAAAAAAAAAAAGATTTTAAAATGCAGCCACTTACCTGTCCCTCGGTCCAGCGTTGTCCTCACCATGGCTGGTTTCACCGGCCGTCTTCTCTCCCTGGCGCCAGCATCTCAACTGTGGGCACCCGGCTGTGACAGCTTGCGGCTTCACAGCCGGATGCCCACTGCGCATGCACGAGAAGCGCTGCGCTTTGTGAATGGCCCTGGAGTCTTCTGGGACCTGTCACATGTCCCAAAAGACTACAGAGGAGGACAATTTCCGCTTCCGGTCGCAGCGGAAGTAGGAGCAGTTACATGTCAAATTCGGATACCCGCTCCCCAAAGGTTCCAATCCTTAATGAAGAGCAGGGGACAAAATGTTTAAAGCGGAACTTCCCCTTTTGGGTGGAGCTTTGCTTTAAGGCAGAACGTCATTTCATCCGGTTATAAAAAAAAAAGATCTCTTGTATTTTTATAATACAAGCAGCATTATTATGGATTTTTATATCAGCTTCCAGGAGTTGCCTGTAGTTTAGCATCCATCCAGTCAGAGCTGTAAAAACAGTATTTTAGCTGTTTGCCTGGTGTCCAGCTTTACCAGTATGGAGCATGCAACAGGAATAAGAGGACTAATTCAAACTATTTAAAAAGTGAATCACTTTCCCTCCTGCTGTGAAAAAAAATTGCCTATCCGCAGTAGAGTTGTAATGGGCTTTACCTGACTGTACGCCTAGAGCCACATATTGTCTGTTACTGATCACTAATCGGGAATGTCCTCTAACATTGACCAGGAGCCCGGAAGGCTTGTTATTGATTTCAGGAAACGTTTGCTATGGACTATTTGTGATCCCAACATAGGAAGCTCCGACCTGGTACACTACCCAACCCTAACTGAAGGAAACGAGACTGCTGCTTTTATTTTACCGTGAAATGAAAAACAAATCTACAGGGTTAATATATGAATGAATAAAATAATTTGCTTCTTCATGAACTGGATCTGAGGGGTAAGAGCTTTATTTTTCCTCTGTGCGCTAATTAAAGGTTTGGTTCATGTATTGTCCAATGAGAGTTTTCTTACTGGCCAGCGAGACAGCAGAATGGCACTTGGTAAGGCTTAGCCATTCAGTCAGAGCATAGTAAAACCATTACATTTCAGTCCATCTCCGGGGGGGGGATTTACTAAAACAGGAGCACACAGAATCTGGCGCAGCTCTGCATGGTAACCAATCCGTTTGTTAAATTAGGCCTTTGCATAAAAACCAATCAGCTTCCAGGTTTTATTGTCGAGTTGCACCAGTTTCTGTTTGCTTCAGTTCCAGAGCAATACCTGCTGCCTTTTGCCTTTACCCATTCACAATGGGAAAATTAAAAAAAAAAACAAAAAAAAAAAACTTTTCTTTTTTTTTTGCTGTCACATGACTCTTGATCTGCTGCTACGGTTCAGGCCTACAAACTGGTCTTGTTGACATACCTTGTTTTGTGATTTTATAATGCCACCAGCTAAAATTTTCAGGTCTCTGCGAGAACCCCTTCAGTCTTGAAGACCGTATCAAACGATCGCTAGGTAAAATGACGAGCAGCTAGCATGAAGGTAAAACCTCAAAATCCTTCTCATAAATTAGTAAATATATAAATGCAGCGATGTATTTATATATTTACTAGTCTTGAAGACCCACCTAAACGGGTCATAGAACAGTACGGTCATTCAAAAAAAAAGGACCTCTCCTATAGTGAAGGGCAGACCTTGTGTGTCATGAGACTGCTGATTCAGGCCTCTTGGGTTAGTGATTTTATTTTTTGTAGCATAACATGGCAGGTAGTGAAGGGGTGGAGGGCTGGACTGTAGGTCAGAGAGGAGCACAGAACTGGTGTTTCTGGCTAATTAAGGTATAAGCAAGGGTATAAAGGCATTTTTAGACAGGATTTTACCATGGAGTACAGTTTCACTTTATGGCATGCGTTCATAGTCTGCACATTGGAAGAGCAATAAAGGCTATGTAATGCTACACGTATGTCCTTCACATGAGCAGATCTGCAAAGTGCTGGTCCATGGAGAGCATGGGGTAGGTGTATTGATCTCTTCTAGATGTGAATTCTATCCGACACTCAGAGTGCTGTTTCCAGAATTACCTACAAGCTTGTATTATATTGATTGCACAGCGGAATACCAATCAGGTCCTAGCTGTCTTTAGGGTTGGTTAAGGAAGCAAGAACCTGACTGTTGAATTACTGATTTTTTTTTTTTTCTGGGTCTAACAAATGAGCCTTTTGCTTCACACCCAGTGGGTCCTCCTTTTCACCTCCACATTACTGCTGGGGTCATGGAAGTCGAT